TTAAATGGAAGCTTAAAAGTTGAATGCTGGAATAGTGCTTCCCAAATATCAGTGGAACATGAATATGGGATGTGAAAATGCTCTCAAAATAAAGCACTATTAATTCCATCTTTGAGAATAAAGAAGTAAATGTACTCAATGATGTGGCAATTTTATAATCATTTTCCCAAATATGCATTTGAGGAGGAAATAATCTATACTATATGAAAGCATCTCAGGTCATTGAGCCAACAAACTCCTATTAAAATGAACATCTAATTAGCAGTGCTGTAAATGCAGCTAATTCATATGTCTCTCTCTCTCTCTCTCTCTCACACACACGCACACACACACACACACACACACACACATGAGCAGATTAGAGGAGACACAGTGAAAGAAATTCTTCCTCTGAAGTGGACTTCAGCACCCTCCAGTAGATTTTGCAGTGAGCCAAACTTTTTCTCCATCTTTGGAGAACACAAATTAAAGACAAATCCAGATAGCTAAGACCAGAACCACTGGCACTGAGACCCTTTTGAGCTGGAGGTAATGAAATCATACCACCAGTGTGCTTTAGGCAACATTTAAAATCTATAGGAAATCGGTTCAGAGTTGTTTCCTTAAGTTGGTGGTTTTCAAATCATTTTAACAGCAGAATCATTTGTTCAAAGAAAGTCTTACCTGGAACCCAATATATAAAATATATAAATGTAGAATGGCTCTGGTGGAATGGTGTGTGTGTGTGTGTGTGTGTGTGTGTGTGTGTGCGCGCGCATGTTTATGGTAAAGCAGAGTGAGGACAGGAGGAACACAATTTGAAAATTACTGTTTTAAGCTAAATTGCAAAATTCTAGAAATGGCACTTGTTCCTTTTCAGCAATCTTTGTTGCTAGGGAAAACTACCTCAATACTGTGAGTCCTAGTTTCCACGTCAGCAGAATGGGGATAATATCTACTTCGAAGGGTGACTGTGAGGATTAAGTGCATACTGCCAATGAGAGGCTTAGTACAGACCCTGGTCTCTTACAAATTCTCATTACATGATGATCATAATGGTGAGTATTATTATATTATTCATACTTGATGTCACCTGGGAAAGTGTGGATATCATCACAGGCACATCCCCTTCCTATGGAAATGAAGATCACCCCTGGCTCACAGATGGGAAGAGTAGCTTCTTAATGAGACGAGGTAGCACTGTACAAGGGTTACAGTCGACGTCCAGACCTTACCTCCACCACACACTAGCTATCAGACCTTGAGCAAGCAGATTGTAGACTTGTGAAATGTGACTCCTAATTCCTATGTCATACGTTTGTGAGGGTTATGTAAGAAAATGTATATGTTTAATCAGTAAGAATTCCATTTCTTACCCTTTTCCCCCAGAAACCTTTCCTTCCATAGAGGGTCAAAAATTAGGAGTCCAGTTTTTCTATTTTCATGTCTTAAGATATAGGGAAATTGGAGGTTGAGTGAAAGGTTCCACTTCTTGCCGATCTTACTCCAATGGAGAGAACATCTCACTACTGAATGGATGAAGGGGTAGGGCATTGGCTTTCTAATGATTCATTTTCTTATGAGCCTCTCTCTGAGGTTTATCCAATTTTGGTGCCCTTCGTCTCTCCAGGAAGAGTTGAGAGTGACCTCAAGAAGTGAGACTCCTGAACCTAGTTGCAACAAGACAGTGAGAAAGGTGACCACACTGAGGGCAAAGGGTACTTTGCCCCACCCTTGGGGCAGGAACAGCCAGCCTGGGTTGGGCTCTATGTTAATGAGGTCATTTGCTGCAGAGATAGAAGCCACAGGCCACGGGCAGACGGTCTTGTAGCAAATGCATCCTGAGAGGCTAGAAGAAGGGGGCCCAGAGGCCAACTTCCTCTATGTGTCTGTTATCTTAATAAGAGCTATATTTTACCGAGCACTTTCTATGTAGGAGCTATTATGTTCTCGTGTAACCCCTTCTTAGCCCTATGACACAAATGATATTATTCCTACTTTATAAATGGGGAAATTGAGGCTTAAGAGTGATTCGCCTGCCCATGGTCACACAGCTAGCAAGTGACAAATCCTAGATGCAAACGTAAGACTGTGTGATTCTAACAGTCATGCTCTTAAACCCCAAACTGTCTGTGATTCATCAAAAAATGTTGGTTAAGTCATATCTAGATTATGTGATAGACATTCAAGTTTCTCTGACATGGACAGAGGCATGTTCCAGAGATGGAAGAGTTCTTCCTCACCCCCAGTATCCTACAGACTCACCACAAGTTCAGAGCTGGTCTGGAAGGTCTCAATGTAGAAGGAGTAGTGCTGGTCACCCATCTGGTTTAAGATGGCCGTCATACATGCCACAAAGTGACTCTGCAAGACATGAAGAAAAATACCATAAATAGTGGAGAGAGGACCATGGAAAATGTCCCTGTCAGAAAATGTCTCCTTATGGCTCATTCATCAAAAAAGTGTTTACTGAATACTATTATGTGCCTGGGACTGTAATGGGAATGCCAAACATAAAGATAACACCTGATCCATTACTTCCCCCGCTGTTCGCACATCGAGGAAAGAGCACTGTACTTGTGTCAAGAAATCCAGCCTATATCAAAATCATGAAGACAGTTTCATTTTATGACAAATAATTTTACATGTGTAAGTCTCAATTGTCTCATCTGTCAAGTAGGACAATAATTCATCTGAATCTAACTCTAGAGGAGTATCAAAAGAATCAGGTGGCTCCTTTAGCACCTTGAAATACTCTGAAGTTCTCTGCAGAGGAATCTGTAGTTGGATCACCATGAATCAGCCAGTGGCAACTCAGTACCTACTGGGTTGGCCTGGCACTTGGTAAGGGCTGAGAGGGACGAAAGAAATGAGAAGAGATGGCCCTTGCTCTTTGTGAGTTCATGATCTAGTCAGGAAAGAAAGATCAATCCATGAGAGAAAAAGAGTAAGACCCTCAATCTGCAAAGCCAATTAAGTACCAGGAAGATTCAAACAAGAGGGAAATCAAGGCAGGGACACGGAGAGGAGACCCTGGGGGCACAGGAGACTCTACTAAGGTTAAGACATCAGCATAGCCTTTTCTGCTTCCTCTTTCCCAGATTTTATCAGTCCGTATCAGTGTGAGTTTTCTGTATTTGCAAGCAGGATTCGGGGATATCTATTCTGGAACCTGGTAAATAAAGAACTGCCCACGAATCCACCAAGGATGAGAAGTCATTCTTGACTCTTCACTGTCTCTTGCAAGTTTCCACTGCGGCTGCCGTCTTGGCCAAATGAAGTTCCACTGTGGTCCGCCAAGCACAGGCTTAGAAAAATGGCCTGGCTGGAAGTATTATGTTTGAACCCCCAAAAAAGAAAATGCATTTTTATCATAAACTGCTGCCTTTTTCTAAAACACTTCTCCTTTTATTAATAAAATAACATATATGAAATACAGACAGGCGTACCTTGAAGATATTGTGGGTTTGGTTCCAGGTCATCACAATAAAGTGAATATCACAATAAAGCTAGTCACACGAGCTTTTTGGCTTCTCAGTGAATATGAAAGTTATGTTAACACTATATTGTAGTCTATTAAGTATGTAATAGCATTATGTTTAAAAAAATACACTTTATTTTGAGAATGTAAACCTTAATTTAAAAGTACTTTATTGCTAAAAAATACTAACAATCTTCTGAGCCTTCAGTAAATAGTAATTTTTTTTTTTTTTTTGAGACGGAGTTTTGCTCTCGTTACCCAGGCTGGAGTGCAATAGCGCGATCTCAGCTCACTGCAACCTCTGCCTCCTGGGTTCTGGCAATTCTCCTGCCTCAGCCTCCTGAGTAGCTGGGATTACAGGCACGTGCCACCATGCCCAGCTAATTGTTTTTGTATTTTTAGTAGAGACGGGACCATTTCACCATGTTGAAATGGTTGGTCTCGATCTCTTGACCTCGTGATCCACCCGCCTTGGCCTCCCAAAGCGCTGGGATTACAGGCATGAGCCACCACTCCCGGCAATAGTAATCCTTTTGATGGGGAGGGTCTGGCCTTGATGCTGATGCCTGCTGACTGATCAGGGTGGTGGTTGCTGAAGGCTGAGGTGGCTGTGGCAATTTCTTAAAAACAGACAACGGTGAAGTTTTCCATAGTGAAGTTTGTTTGTGGTGCCCTAAAACAATTATAATAGTAACATCAAAGGTCACTGATCACAGATCACCATAACAGGTATAATAATAATGCAAAAATCTAAAATACTGCTTGGATTTCCAAATCATGATGCAGAGATATAAAGTGAGCACAGGCTGTTGGAAAAATGGTGCCAACAGACTTGCTCAATGCAGGGTTGTCACAAACCTTCACTTTGAAAAAAAAAAAAACAAAACAGGTATCTGTGAAGCATAATAAAACAAGATACGCCTGTATGTATACATACGTGTGTATATATTTCCTCCCAGGTTTACAATTTCATTCCAGTGGTAGAGAAACAGGAAGCCTTTTGGAAAACTGTTTCTGAAGCTTACACTCCCCAAAGTAGCTCCCATGATACAGATTCTCATTTGTTTCTAGGTTCTTTTCAATTGAGAAGTTAGGGATAGCATGCTTTCCTTGTCAGCAGGACCATGACTGGGTCCCACTTGTAATTTGTGGGACCCAGAACAAAGTGAAAATAAAGAGCCCCTGTTTAAAATTATTCAGATATTTCAAATAGCCACGGAGCCCTTCTAAGCAAGGGTCCTGGTGTGACTATGAAGGTCACACACCCAGGAAGCTGGTCCTCCCTGCCAAATAACCACCATACCCGCCCACCATAAATGCCTAGAAAACATGCAAATCCGGCAGAGAATGCAAAGTTTGGACTCTTGGGGGCAATGGCTGATGATGCTTTATTGATGGGAACCTGTAGCCTCTACACTGGGTGGTACCTCCTTGAACATCCAGAGACTAATTCTTTTTCCTACTCAGGCCCCCAGGGGGTGGTAGTGAGTGTGTGAAATTATCCCTTTCAAACTAGACAGAACACCATGGTCACTGCTAATTTAACCAGCTCCCACTTAAATCAAGAATTGATCAGTATTATTGTTTATACCTACAGCCAGGCCAAATACAGGAAAGAAGAAATCTCAGCATTTGAGGGACACAGGAGTGTGTGTATGTGCATGTATGGGCACCTGCATATGTGTGTGTGTGTGTAGATACACACACACACACAGGAGCGTGTGTTTCCTCTGCTCCCTCTGTCTCTCCTCTCCCTTCCTTAAAGAATTCAGCCTGTGGCCACTAGAGGTCTTTTCTTTTCACATGGTAGCTGCTGAGCAGTTTGTTCGGCTTTTTATTTATTCCTACGTGAGCAGACCCACTACACTTCTTGCATATAAACAGTGAAAATTACAATATAAAAGACTTATTATTCCTTCTTTTGGAGTAATTCTGCTTCTGGTCAAAGCCTGGCTCACTGTCCAAGGAAGGGGGACCATCCTCTGCAGGTAATTCCACTGCTTCAAGGTAAGAAATGTGGGTAGGTTTTATTTTTTATGATCGATGATCCTCTAAGAGAAAATACGATCGTCTCTTGGACAATAGTTTACTTTTAAAGCTTTGACTTAAATGAACAGTGAGACTGCTAGCTTGTATGTGTGTGTGTGTGGTGGTATGTAATGAAAAATCCACCATTGTCAGAACTGCAGGCTGCCCCAAATGCATAGATTTGGAATGCTTGTTATTTCTAATGGCTTGATTTGAATTTCAAGGGGGAAAGAAAAGCAAAGAAAAACAAACCTCGGATCTCAAGTTGCCTGGAATTATCTTGAAAACGATGCATTGTCTTAAGCCTTGTTTAGAGAAACTTCCATTCTTCATTGTAAAAGATAAAAAGGGAGGGGGATTCTAGTCCCCATCTCCAGAGAGTGGCTGTTTTATGAAAGAAACCATTATCTCTTTATTAGGAGTTGGTCGGTGTGCTGCAGTTCACTGATCAATCAAAATTACTTTGACCAGCTTGTTAATTTCTTAGTTCTCACTACCACGTAGCAAAACCCAGTTGCATGCCTTTCGGTACAATTTGTAGTGCAATGTGACTGAAGTTTGGACAAGTTACCTGCATTTGGCTGTTAATGAAAAATGACAGTGTTTTACTTCCGACTAAAAGCATCTTTTTTTTTTTTTTTTTTTTCTGCTATGGTGTCTAGCCCACTTTGGTATCGGATCTGTGGGAAATCACACCAATGTGACTGATTGATACCTGAAATGGAGTGAGACACTAGCAGCAGCTTCTTATTCAGAAAAGTCTCCTATCTGTCATTTGGATTTTAAAAACCACCTCTTTGTCACACAGCAATAGAATAATGGGATAACATTTTGCTTCTCTGATGTGGGTCTTTTTCAGTAGTTTCCCCCAAAATGGTATTTGTGACCTGCACCTCTGTACAAGTTTGAGATCTTACTTTCATATCTACCATGTCTAAAATTTTTAGAAGGAGACAGGAATAGGGGATGGAGGATGATCAGACTGCATTTGCACTAGCAACTTAGCCCTAACACAGACGTTGCTCGAACTTTATAGTGTAGGATCTTGAACTCCCAGTCTTGTCAGAAACCTGGAAAAGCCTGAATATTGCATGGGGGACAGAGGGGTGGAGGGATCCCTTGTAGTCTCCATGCTAGCGAGAATTCCCCTTTTCATCCCTGGCAGAAATTTTGTAATCGACATATTTACTACCTAGGAATGAGGCAGCCACTCATCCTTACCCAAGCAGCATGCCAGGATGGGATTTGCTTCTTAAAACAGAATTCCAGAGAGACTTGCATATTAAATTCCAGAGAGAAATTATATCCGAGAGTCTGGCACAAACCAGTCAGTGTCACCTCGCTCCAATTGGGGTGGTTTAAAATGTGGCTAATGAATCACAGCATGAAGAGACACGGTTTGAAACTAGGTCAAACGTGTAAAAATAAGTGCAATCATTGCAGGCACTTGGCTGATGAGGAGCTACTTAACACCTTGAGTGGCAGGTCTTATTTGCTGTACAGAACCCTCCTCAGTGATCCAAGACAATCAGTCCTCTTAATTAATTCAGCCCATTGGGATGTGGGAAGGTCTTTCTTGCACACTTGGAAGCTCCAAAGGAAAAGGGTGAGGGTTTCTTCACTGTGTGATGGTGAGGGAGGAAAAGAGAAACCCAATATTGTGTGATCAAAATTAATTAGCTAGGATACTAGGTGATTGTGATCAGGAAATTAGCTCTCCCCAAATCATTCCATTCTTTTCCATTAAAAAAGTCATCATCATCATTGTAATCATATTCATAATGCCAATAGTTTTAGTATATAATATTCAACTTAAACATATTTGTTTAACAACCTGTAATGCAAACACATCTACACACACACATACACACACACACACACACAGAAACACACACGCACCACAACCAGGACCCCTGCGATGCCAAGTGAACTGAGGAAAAGGCTACCAGTTTTCCCTGCCTTGGGAAACAGACAAAATACGGGTGAGGGGCATGGGTGTTGCTCATGCATCCCCCACTCACCTAAGATTAGTAGGAGGGATGAGATTGTAGAGGGAGAGAAACACCCAACTTCGGTAGCTTGCTACCTAAATGCCAACATTACTATGTGATACCAGCTGGTGACACGTTGCTATAGAAACTTCGAATAATGAGCACGACCAAAATAAAATAAAATATAGAAAGCACCAATGAGAGGAGATGAAGGAAAGTTTGCATGCCGAGGGAGGCTCAGAGAGAGATGAAAAGTTCTTTCTATGAGCTGTCCTTTGGAGAGAGGGAGTGGCCGAATGCACTCACAGGTTGCTTCTCATTCACCCATGTCTGCCATCTGGTTATGTAACAGATTTTATTCTTGGATGAAATTGGTGCTGTCTGTATGGTGGGTCCAGGACTGGAAGTGGGAGGCTTTGGTGTCAGGAAAAACAGGGACTCTAAAACCCATTCATCTTAGAGTTTTATCAGGCAGTTCAGAATTGTAATTTGCAGCACTCTTTGGGGAAACTAAGGTATGCAGACTGTTCCTGCAACCACCAGGTGCTGGGCTCTGTGCTAGGTTCGAGGGGTGGAGCAATGAGCCAGATGGATAAGGCAGTACTCTAAAGGGTTTACATCTGGTTCTGCCAGGATACAAGCATGAGAGTGGGGGCTTAGGAGCCAGAAAGCCTGAGTCCAAATCTCAGCTCTATCACTTACTAGGTTTGTGACCTGGAGCAGTGTCTTGTGCCTCAGTTGGCTCATCTGTAAAAGGAGGTAAAAACATTCCTTACTTCACATGGTTTTGGTAAGGATTCAAATAATTTGTGTAAAGAACTTAGAATGCAGAAAGCCCTCAATAATAGCAGCTATTATTAGTATTGTCTTGTTGCTGACTCAAGTCCAGAGAAGCTATGCAGATTAGCTCATTGAAATTCCTGACCTGGACAGAGGAAATGATGACTCTGCCTACCCATGACTATGAACACATCACAGCTTGGGATGTAGAGCTAAGAGCCTCTGCCACTGAACATGCTTTTGATTAGCAACATGCCTAAAGTGCCGCTGTTCAGTAAGTCCAGTGTATGCCTCTTGGAGCAAAGCATGCTGGGAGAGTTCTTTTATTCAGGAACAGTTGCTGGCAGGTAGGAAACATGACCATAGTGCCCAAGTTGTTCAGAACCATGAAAAATAACGGTCTTCCTCTAAAACTTAATTCTCCAGTTGTTTGGTTTTAGGAGGTGTCTGTCCGTCTTTGTGTGCAGTGATATCTCCTTTGGTTACCCAGGGAATCCTGCTGTGAAATAGAATAAACCAAATCACCTTCCTTCCTGAGAAGCTTCTTGATGGGCACAGATCCAGAAGGTTCACATGGCCTGCTACATGTCAAAGGCACATCACAGGAAAACAGACAGATGCCACTTGGATGTTGCATATGGTGGGCATGCCCTGACACGTTCCATCTGTACAACATGGCAACTCCAGCAGAGTCAGCTGTGTGCACCCCTGCCTGATCTGTGGGCATTAATGACAGATCAGCTCTCAAGCACAGATGAGGGGCCAGAAGCATACGCTGCTTCGAATCAAGGCTTGAAGAGGAGCCTGAATTCATTACACACTCTTCATTTGAAACTAACACCTTCTGATCCTGGTTGGAGCCTGTGCTTGTGGCTCTGTGGTGTGAAATCACTTTAAATCTTCTAAAGTATATGATGGGATGTTTAATCACAAGGGGAAGTGGAAGGAAAGAAAATTTCATTCACTCATGCCTTTTGTCCAGGGCGCTACATTCATCATCTCAATAGCAATCACTATGTACTAGATGCCAGGGGTACAGCAGTTACTGAATACCCTCAATAATCTCATGAGGTCGGCTTTATGCTCATTTTACAGAGGAGGAAAGTGAGATGCCTGGAGGTCAGGTATCTTCCTTATGCAAACTTTTAGTATATGGTGACATAGGACCTAGGACTCAGGCATTTCCAACTCCAAGCCCTGTGCTCGCTTCAAAAACCCACCACATCTTCCATGTCAGCACTCTCATGCACAAAGACTTTTGTCCATTTATTCATTGTTCTTTGTCAGAAGGTAGAGTTGAACTTGCATACTGCATGGACTCAATAAATATTTGTTAGATGGGAGACGGAATTTATTATAGTATTCCCCATCTCTAAAAGAACATTACAGGGAACACACCCTCCATAAACTCTCAAAAGTTAGGGTCCTATGTTGACTACCTTTGCCGTAGGAGAGGCCAGAGATGAAAGAAGTTTTGTTCTGCTTCTGAACACACCCTATGCTAAATTATATTCTAGCAGGCCAAAGTGGGATAATACTTTCACACATTGCTTAATTCAACAAATATTTCTTGAGTGCCTACTATGTGCCAGGCATGGTTCTAGATGCTGAGGATACAGCTGAGAAGGTTACCAAAGACTTTGTTTTAAGAAGCTCACATCCCAGTTGGGAAGAGCCAGGAAGAGGGGGAACACAACTTAAATACAGAAATAAATAAGATCATTTTAGATAGTGATATGTGCTACTGATAAAATACTACAAAGCAATAGCATGGAGATGGAGTGTCTACCCTATTTTCAACAGGGTGGATAGTAGAGGCCTCTTTGAGAGTTGACATTGAGTAGAAACCTGAATGACGAAAATGGGTGACACAAAAATCTGGCAGAATAGTAGATGCAAAGGCCCTGAAGTGAGATGTGCCTGGAGTGTTGGAGGAGCTGAAAAAAATTCAGTGTGGTGGGAAGGCATGAATGAGGGAAGGCTCTGTATATGATGAGGTTGGAGAGACAGGTGGCAGTGTGATCCCATGGGTCCTTGGAAGTCAGGGCAAGAATTGGGATTTTCTTGAAAGTCAAAGAGAAGCCATTGATTTGGATTTTGAGAAGCTGGCTCTGGCTGCTGTGTGCTGGAAAGGTCTGCTCTTTAAATAAGCAGTTTCCATGTCTTTCCACATGAGCCCATCTCCAAGGCACTAGACTGGAGTTCTTC